AGACTGGTTATTAAATCGCATTTACAAAATATTAATTGACGTTACAGAAAATCTTTACAAATTTCAGATTCAGCACAACATCACGAACTTTGCAAAAGCACTGTAAGTCACCATGTTGCTGCAAACTCGCATTCGGATTCACATGAATTGCGACAAGATGCGGCCCTTCCCGCTCACTAGTCACTGTACATGTTGTACAGCAAACATTTCACAGCAGAAATGTTCCAATGTGATCTGCATGCAGACTAGTGTAAGTAAGTAGCATTTGCCAGCAGAACGATCTCGAAGACAAGAGGAATATTTCTATTGGATTAAAAGAGATGTACTCACCAGCCTGCTCGTGCCTAGTTCTGAATCACAGACTATGGCGCTGTACAGACCTGGACGTTTTGTCAATTTTGTGATGGAAATTGGAGGTTTTACAAGTGAATTTGTACATTTTACTTTTATTGAGGTTTGAAATGCTGATTTTATTTTAACCCCAAAGTACAAAAATGGCATTGTAGTTCCCCTTTAAACCTCTCTGGACACAAGGGAGAAATGCACGAGCAAAGCAGCTCAGAAACATACTGCAAAGATGGAGTAGTTTCAGGATCCCATCGGCTCAGTATCCAAGTGATGAACAATTAACAACTGAGTGATGACATTGGATCTATCTGACTCTTTGCATAGCTTGGTCTATGTAAGCTCAGTGATACATGTCATATCGCCGGGAAAAACTGTGAGTAATTTAAAGGGGGACTGGAGTCCTGGTTTCTCAGACCGTTATTCAACCTCGGTAAAAAGATAATGTCATTAACAGTATCGCAAAAATGTACAAATTCCACACACTTTGTGAAAGTACTGTAAGACACCATGTTGTTGCACATTCGCATTTGAGTTTCCACGAATAGTGATGCCATGCTGCCCTTCCTGCAATTATTCCATTAAACAATAAGCTCCAATTTTTTATGTCTCATGAAAGTTTTTTCAATACTGTTTTCCCTATTATTTACTGTATATTGGCACTCTATAAGCTCCCCAGACTTGAGGCAATATAAAGAGATAGTATACTGTATATGTTCAGGTGGGGAGCTGCATCAGCATGCGTAGGCTGCAAAGGAACAAGTAATAGGTTTATTCCAAGCTGAAAAGAGAAGAAAGAAAACACAACGTTTTTGGCCGTGGAGCCTTCTTCAGGTGTGAGAATATATTGTGAGTATACATGTGAGTATACTGTATATGGAGAGAAAGGGTAAAATGAACACTGTGCCTCTGAGCTAGTTGAGCCAGAAAGATGCAATGAAAGTAGTTAATTGTACAGCTAAAAGTGACGCAAAACAAAGAATAGTTGTAATTCCTCCAAAGCTTAAAAAGAGATGCAACATCACAGAATCAGGTAAAAGTAATGATACTGTGTAAAATACATTCACTCAGTAGCTTTAGTAATGAATGAATGTCTTATCTTTAATTTTCACAGAAATGTCTTAAGTAAATGTTGAGTTGTCTAGAAACCTGCGATTAGAAAGAAAGTACAAAGACGCAGATCCCTAATTACTGCATATCTTTGGGCAATATGACATTGACTGTTTTAATAACCTAAAAAGCAAGCCATTACATACTGCCTTAGAAAATATGCACTTCAGTATAATTGGGCCATGCAATTTATGTTAGGAAAAACACTCTTTAAATAGATTAATAACGTGGAGTGGTTGCAAAGTTGCACTAATAATAAGCAGTTCCACAGCATTAAATTAGTAGAAGTAATCATGGTGAGTATTCGTACAGGATCTCAAAACAAAACTTTACATCCGCAAAGGAAAGCAAACAGATCAAGTATTCCCACAAATGTTCTAAATGCTTTTTTTTTTACTTTTTTTACTCTTAATACACCATTGTGGGAAAAGCAATACAGATGTATTTTAACTCATTTTTTAAGCATGTAAAAAGGAATGGTAAGTTGAAATCCTACAGCAGGCAGTGGCCTATTATTCTGAGCAACACACAAAAATGGCTGAGACTTGTCATTTAGACTCATTCTACAAGAAAGAGACTGTTCACCCCAACAGAGAACAAAGAGAACTTCCTGGCAGCCCTTAATTTAACACATTCTGCACATCATTGTTCAGCTGACAGTCACATGAGGCGCCCCAGTGCAGCAGTCAAGAGCACCCAGCAATCAAAAGCTCCAGGAGAGAAGTGTCATGAAAAACATTTCCATGCCAGACTGAAATGGCAGTGAATTTGTGTGCAATGCTGTGCTGCATGCTCACACTTTTCTTAATATGTAGAAGTAGTTACCTTTTTGATGGCCTCATACCAGACACAATATGATGGGGAAGAAATTTGTATCCCGAGACCAAATTTCCCCACCTTCTATCAAGCCACACTTCAACAAAGTGCTTAAATCCTGACGGGAGACTTGTGTGACTGTTTCACACTTAGGTTTATTCCACGAAGTCGGGAAAATACAGTGCAAGCAGTACAAGAGAAGTCTGAGTTCATTTTTTCTGTGGCATGTTGTTTTTGTGTAAACCTGTTTGTGCACTCCATTGATGCAAGATGTACATAAATGCATCTGATTTATATAACAGATTGTCATGAAAATGTAAAGAAAAACAGTCTCGCTACATCCTCCTTCACCAGAGATTTTGTTTTAACAACAAAGGTCTCAGCTATTAAATTCCATATTGTATTGCACAGTCCATGATAACAGACACCAGGACAATCAAATCTACTACAACAGCACGCCCTGTCCTCTGTGGGGCCACATGCAGTAGTGCTTAGGGCTCTGGACCCATTCCTAGAGATCATTAGTTCAAGTCCTCAGAGATAATTCTGCTGTTGTTTCCTTGAACAAGAAACCTTACCCTAACGGCTTGAGCCAGCCCAGCTGTGTTAATCGCTTCCAGAATTATGGGAAGAACTTAATGTCCAAACCGGAGAGCATCTTACATTCTCAGCTCACACAAGGCCACAGAAACTTGCAAAATGAGCAAAAACCCCAATATCTTGAGCAACTCGTACTCATTAAGCATACAGCCTGGGAGATATAAGGTCTCAGCCCTTGCTTTGCTCTATTAATTTAACTTCACACCAAGGTAAAATCAAAAGTGAATTCGAAATATTTCATTCAAAACAGGAAGACCCTAATTAAAATACATAAAAGCAGCGCTTAAATAATACTAAAACCACAGTTTGAGAGATTTGTAGCATGCACTTATAATGCTGTACAATTATGGTCAACAAAATATGTGAAGCATGAGTTTAAAAAAAAGGTTTACAACTACTGTGAGAAAATTTACTTTATATGAAAACACCTCCCAACAATTAAAACTTTCATTTTTTAATTTGTCAATTTAGCCTTGCGTCAGTCATTATGTGGCCCAATACACTGGAAAGAAATAATCCAGCTAAGCAGAAGTTCAGCCCAGTAACCGACGAAGAATATCTTTAGCACAGAATTTTGTGAAGGATAAATGAAAGACTTGCGATACCACTTCTAATCCTTGTTAACTTCAAAGGATCACACTGCTATCACTTATTTTCACAGCCTCCGGGGCCTACAGAGCGCACGGGGAGAAAATGATGATTTCTTAAACAGATAAGTACTAACCAGTAGTTAAACGGTTTTTAAGACTATTAACCCCACCTACTGTACGTGCTCAGCCGGCTGAGACTATAAAGCACTTTTAATACACTCGCGGAGCCTCAGGTAGAATCTCCCACCAGGACGACGGAATACAGTTAATGCCATTTGAACTCAAAACAGCGTTTGGTTTCTCACATGCAAATATCTTCTTTTCTGTTTCGCTTTGATGATGGGATTAAGACCCTCTTTTCTTTGTGGTGACAGCAGGCAGGCTGTTACTGAAGATCCATCACCTGAAGTCTATCTAATTATTGTGCTAATTAAATGGCCTATTCCCACAAAATTCCCGCACAGTACATTATTAATGTATGTATGGACCGTTGCTAAATTCCATAAAGGAAAAGAACTCAAACCCATCTCCGTTTCGTCGCTTTTCTCACCCAAAGCAAAACCAATGAGATGAATACAAAGATTCAACCTCGGGTGTTTTTCGTACTATTCACAAATGTACAGTGTCAAAAATGTAAAATACACCACAAAATCAAAAGACACCGAAACTCACTTTAAAGTTAGACGTAAATTGTTTTTTTACAGGATTTTCATATGATTCAAAGTTAATAATAATAATATAAGATGATTATATTACTGGAAAAGGTTACACCAATATATAGCCTAATATAAATTTAAAATTTACTATAAGTAAAGCACTTTTGCTGTATTTAATGAGTAAACATACAGCTTTTGGATGCTTCCATGAGCGCTTCGATCAACAAGTGGCTTTGCAGACGTTAACTACAGTGGTGTGCCATTTCATTTGTATTATAAAGGCCTGGAATGTCTTTCAGTCTACAGTATATGGGCTGTTCAGGCACTAACACACCGCTTGATAAGATGAATACTGGTGCTGGGATTTAGCCAGCAGAGTTTGACCAAAGATCACTCAAGCTTCAAATGGGATTCCCTGCTAACCACCCAAGGATGTGTTTCACGAATGAAAATGAATGTGCATTTGGAAGAAAAAAAAAGTTTTATACATGCAACATTAATAACTTGTGCGTAAAATTACTTCAGCAGATTTGCTGATCATGGGAACATTAAGTTAAACCATGTTCTGATATTGGAATAACTTCATTAGTAAACAATAAAATCGAAAACTCTACACTCGATAGAAAAAAAATTGAAGCGACGCTCCGCTTGTAGCACACGTGAGCACTGATTTTACCCCGCATAGTAAATATATTCATGGGTTAAAAGGGACATGCATCACAGATTGAAGCCGAGTTGATCAAATCGGTCAAATTCATTTCCATCCTCACTATATGAATGAGAAGTTCGCGCATGAGGCTTTACTTTTGCTTAAGGAAGAGCTGCTGGACGATAACCAGCTTTCAAACACAAAACGCGAAATCAATTAGCGCTCCCAGCTCACCTCTTTGCTGACACTCCACGAAGGATGCACACAGCAACACAATGAAAAGGTAGCTTCTCATTTTCTTCTCAGCATAGAGTTCATTTAATTTCTGAGAGAAACAAAAAAAACGGTCTTTTTTTTTTCTTGATTACTGTTTCATTTACATTCACACTACTTCTCTGGTTGTCTCACTTCACAAAAGCAACACTGTCCCACAGTCTTCCACAGTCTCTTTCACTCGGCACCAACTTTTGTCTCCAACTAGTCCCTCCATCCCGCTACACAGTGGCAGGATCTTTGGAATGCACCATTCGAGGAAGGGAGGGGTGTAACTTGATTGACTCCAGGACTCCAGGATGAAGACGGAATCCCACATCACCGAAGAAAAAAGACAGAATAATGCTCGAGGGTTTATTTAACATGGAGTGAATAAAAAAAACCGACCAAAAATGCTTCCCTTTTTGGAAATATAATCAACAAAGATAAAAACTGAATTATTCCTGTTGAGCGATTGGAATGAGTTTTTAATTTATAGAAGATCAAAGTGACGCTAGCATACAGATTTTTCCTTTGTTACCTCCGAAATAATGAAAGTAATACTTTAAAGTTTAACCTGGAAAGCCCAGCTCTTCTCGCTATCGCGTTTTTTTTCCCCTTAGTGAATCTACTTTGTTTGATGTTCTTCAAAATATGCTTCAGAGGAATTTACATTTTCAAATCTAAAAAATATAAAAACGTTTAGTAGCTAAATGCTTGATTTTAACAAATAATAAGCTGCACAGTAGTTAGAAGAAACTACTAAACTACTAAGAAAGAATTCGTCAACTATCTTTGTTAAGGTGGTTAATGATTTGTTGAAGGCTTCTGACTCCTTGAAATTAATGTTCTTTTTCTGGATTTAAATGGAGCTTGTCTCCATTTAGGCTGCTACAAGCCCGCTGGTAAATTTTGGAAGTTTGAAATCTAAAGTTGTCTCACTTGATCTGTCTGTTCCACTAGGTTCCATGCTAAGATTTTTTTTTTCTTCTAAAATGTACATGTTTCCCCTTGGTCAGATAATCCATACACACACACCCCCACCCCTTTTACTCCTTTCCCAACATTTTCCCTGGATAAAACCAGGGAGCGATCTCCCCTCTCTCTTTCTCCTACTCTTGAGTCCAGGGGATTTCTGCTTTTTCTCTCTACCTTCCCCACTTCACCTGTTCTGTGACTAGCATGCCCTGCTGTGATGTAAAGGGCATTAACATTTTCAGTGAGCATGGAAGTCGTCTCCGCCTGTCTTTCCCCATGTTGCCATTGCCGTACAGGGAGTGCTTCTTACATTGGTGTTAAGAGTGGGATGCTCTGCCCTGGGTTATGGACAGAGCTGGAAACACAGCGGAACGCTGCCCAGACAGAGCTGTGGGAGTGAAGAACTGGCACACTGAACCGACAGCTCCCTGCGCCCAGCACCTTGGGGGTGGGGATTCGCACTGTTCTCTTCCTACAGAAGCCGGAGACCAAGCAGAACACCTGGACTGACAGAGGGCGCCATCCAGCACCAGACTAGAAGTTTCTGGGCATAAATTTAGAGTGGGACACGTTCAGACACCTGATCATTCCACGTTATTCGGATTAGTGCCATTAATGCTCTGCTGTATAAATGGTTATCCAGTTCCTAGAAAGGGCTGACCCCAAAAAAACATTTGTAGTGTGTAACATTAGATCCCAGAGAGCTATCCATTATCCATGTATGACCGGGTCTTGCCACCCACCAGTTCTTCCTGTAATACAATAGTTCCTAATGCAGTGCCAGTGCTCCCCACTGCCATCACAGCACCTCGACAGGGGTAGTGGGTGAAGCTTGATTATCAAGGTTGCACCAGGTTTGTCATCCCCAGTAAGAAAACGCTGGTCTTCTGCTCTTGCTGTCAAGCAGCAGGATGTGGCAGGCCCCTAGGGTGAGCTGTGGCCTTTTACTGACAAGACAGTCTCGATCTTCCATGCAGCAAGTCTAGGAGGGCCCTCATCGTGCTACGTCTTAGAGGATGGGAGAGCTCTAGCCCCCCCCCAGTCTGAGTAGAGACCAGAGACCCACCTCTGACCTGACCTGAGCGGGCAGCTGTGATGTTGTGGTGGATCAAGGGAAGGAAAAGAATGGCATTCCCTCTTTGATGGTGATGGTCCTTCCTTTTCTCAGTGGAATCTGGGAACCGAGTCACACATTCTTGGGAAACTTGCCCTTGAAGATCATGGACAGGAGAGGAGAGAAGGGGCACCCTTGGTGGAGTCTGACATCCATCATGAGCAGGCCTAACCTAACACCGGGATACGAGAGCCAATCCATATTCTCGTAGCACCTCCCACAAGATAACCTGGGGTACATAATAATAATTCATAATCGCTCACACTCCACTCAAAGCTCTTACCAGGTAACGGGGACTCTCCTCCATCACCACCAGTGTGCAGCCCCACCTGAATGATGCACCAGTTCACTCCAGACACAACCGCTCTCAGTGGGGAGAAGAGCAGAGTGAAGAAGCCAGTTCAGAGATGGGGATTATTAGAAGATCAGGACAGGTAAAGGCCAATGGGAAATTTGGCCAGGACGCCGGGGTAACACCCCTACCCTTTTCGAGAAACGCCCTGGGATTTTTAATAACAACAGAGAGTCAGGACCTCGGTTTTACGTTTCATCCGAAGGACAACACCTTTTTACATTACAGTGCATTAGGACCCACATAGACAGCAAGGAGAGCGCCCCCTGCTGGCCCCACTAACACCTCTTCCAGTAGCAGACCTAGTTTTTGCCAGGAGGTCTCCAGTCCAGGTACTGACCAGGCTCACACCTGCTGAGCTTTAGTTCATAAGCTGTGTCCACTTCCACAGGATATTGTAGGAGAAACAATGTGTACTTTCTTCCTGTTTGCAGGATTCCTCCTAGATAATTAAATAATTCTACCTCACATTTTGTACCCAACCAGACATGTTTTTCAATCCCTTCTTTTTTTCTAGAACAAAGGATAAAAGTGTTAAGAAAACTAAGCATTGAAGGGAAAAAGGAGCTTTGCTTTTAATTCACAGCGAACCTCATCAAGACTTATTTCATTGAGTGCATGAAACTGGCCCTAGAAAGTCACTTTCACAACTAATATCATGGTAACCCTGAAACAGGAATGAAGGGTCAGGACTGAAAGCAAAGGTTCACATGGCTGGACTGTGACAGCTGGCATTGATAAACTTTGTGTCGTTTTGGACTATGGCTACAGTAAGTCTCTGAGAATCACAGATTCCATGCATTGGTACGTGAAATGTCACATGGTGTAAGACATAAGGGAAGCATTACAAAGGGTCAGTGGAATTATGTCATAATCAACATTTCTCTGCTACATACTGATCTTATTCTTGGACTCTTTCTGCTTCCTGTAAATAATCCCAAGATAAATTTCTGTTATCTTGGACATAGATGGAAATGGGAGGAAGACATGTGCATTTTCTTCAGACTGAGACCACATAAACACTTCACACATACTGTATCAAGGATTCAGCATTGAGCAGACATAACATCCTTGACAAATAAGGTCAATGTGTTAGAGTTTACAAACTTAGGAAGATAGGCTATACTGAGGAAGTCTCAATACAGCTGGAGCCAATAAACATCTGGAATCTGTTACAAAAACATCAGATAAATAGAATGTACACTTAATGCCCTTAAGTACACCTAATTATTAGAGAAGTATCCATTGTGGAAATCTATGGACGTCGTAGATAATTTCTCGGCCAGTTAAAGAATGTGCAGATGTTATAATGAAGGGAAGATTGCCAGTTTCGCCTGACCTCATGGGTTTGAGCCCACCTGGCTAGTGAATCAAGAGATCCATTACAGTTCTAGAGAGCTGAGCTACTGAGTTCGTTCAAGAGAAACAGCTTGTTTTGCTCAAGACACGCTTGATTAATGTGGCTAAGGAGCCAGAAGCATCAACTTTGCACTGACGGGGCCCTGACTTAAGGGCCCATTACAGCAATACAATTCAAAACAAGGTTTTCAGTCTGCTCAACACACCAATTAATTTTAGTACAACGATCTTTTCTGTGCTTTTCGCTAGCTCTTTGATAGTGCAATGCTGTTGTTGGCCAGCAAACCCCAAAGTATATTGTACTATTTTTAAGAAGATGTAATAGGTTTATTCCTTTGCAGCCTACGCATGCTGACGCAGCTACCCACCTGAACTACTACCTTTTTAAGAAGATAACTGACTAAGGTTCACCTCTGGATATATTGTATATATATATATTGTATATTTAAGTGAGGCCCACATAAAACTTGTCACTTTGGTGAGGATTCAACAAATGCTTAAATCTGACTCCGTTTTCTGGCAACTCTGTGCTCGTCTAGGATTCTTGTCTGTCTATCTCCAAGTGGAAAAAGGCCCTGAGAGGAATGTTTTGAGAATCACATCAATCCTTTTAAGGTTTTCCATTAAAATCTGAGAAAGGTGGCCAGACAACAGTAAACAATTGACTATCCTTGTGGTTTGAAATGCACTCGTCAATGCTGATTCTTTCTCTCCCTGATATATGAAAACAGCCTTGCAGCTCCCCATTTACTGCAGTCATCCGCCATCCTCTGGTCATAAAGACAACTCTCTGGAAAGACTGCAGCTTTTACAAAAGCCAGTTCTGAATGTTTTTGCAAGTGATAAGTCCGCTAAGCACACGGCGGCACTTTCCGGGCAACTCCATTTGACGTATTGCATTGCTGCTAAAATTTTAATATGAACTTTAAAGTGAGTGCCCGGACCAGATTTATTTAATCATGCTGATTCCCTCCGTTCCGGAATGCGCTTGCGATACTATCATTCTTGAGACCTCATCTCTACAACATTCTGTGACATGCTGTTGTGTGCTACCCCTTATATCTGCAACAACCTCCTCTATGTCTCCGAATGAGACCTAACATCCTCAGAAACCTTGCAAATTAGCAGAAGCCATCTGGGCCATCTACAATAGCTTGTCGTATTGCTCGCAGCTAGCTGTTTTGGTCTCTTATTCTGCTATTTCTTGGAAGATGCAAAGCTTCTACAACAAACAGTAGTTGGCAGTACCAGACACAGCCATTTGTGTGAATATGTGCCTCCTGTTCTCTGTTTTAACAGCTGTACTAACAGCTAGTTCCAATCTATGTTCTCTGGTTCATCTATCAAGCATGGCTGATTCAGAAGATTTCCAATGAGTTAAGTGTGTCATCATCTTTGATGTCTTTGAGTACCTGTATCAGGTTCCCTCATAGTCCTCTCTGTTCAAAATTCAAATGTTTTAGACCTTTTAGCCTGTCAGAGTAGGTCATTTGAAACCAAGAATGTGTGTGGTTACTCTTCTCTGCACTGATTCCTGAACAGCAAAATCACTTTTGTAACATTGTGACCCAATATTCCAAATTAAGTCTTATTTGTGCATTGTACAATT